TTTTTAACTTTTTTTTTAACTTTTAATGTTTTAACTTATAATTACTACCCAACCTTAATTAGATTAATATAGAATATTTTCTTATTACTTATTACTTAGATGTAAGAGATCTTTCTGGCATAATTAGTTTAGTGTTGCCAATTTAGTAAAATTTCTATCAGATTTGAAGGTTTTTTTCTTTTTGGAAATATCGAAAAATTTTTTGAATAAAAAATTTAGAAGAGGACTTTCCAAGTGACTTTAGAGAGGAAAATATAAAGGAAAGTAAATTACAGCTAAATATTGAGAAAAATTTCATTATAAGAGATAACTTTTGAACAGACTTGTGATTATCTTTTATACAAATATGCACCGATATGTTTCTATTATTAATATCTATCAACAATGTGATTTTTAATTACATACGTATCACATGATATGCATAGATGATAGATGCATATATGTACATGTTGAGATGTCTAGTGGAAAGATCTGTTATTGCTATAAAAAATACGAACATTTTTGAGGAAATTATGCTATGACTGTCTGTTGGTTGTTATAAAGAATCGTGTTTATTTCGAAGATAGTTACGACCTGTTGAATTAAATAAAAATTAAATGAAATGTATGGGGAATAAATTAGAGGTTAGTGATTGAGGTCAGTGAACGATTTTATATGCTGAAAATTAATAACACATTGTTTTAACAATGTTAAATTGTGTATTTTTATATTAAAGAAGAATATGTATTTTTTCTTAGCATAAAATCAAAAGAATCATATCGTTAAAAATATTTATTTATAAATTTATTATCTTTTCAGAAATATAAATACCAGAAGAAATTGTATAAAATAAACAGATTTATGCTCGAATAGGTGTCTGAAAATTAGTTTTATATATACGTCTGGTATTGGTTTTATACATTATAGATGTAAAGAGATTATTTATCAATGAGATATGCCTCGGTCCCAGTATATAAAAACTTGCCTGAAAATTGTTAAACAATTATGTCCGTTAGTAACGTTAATGTCCACTGTATTTGTCATTGCAATTACGATTTATATCAATGAGAAAGTCTCACCGGTCTTCGTTTTCCTCTGCATGCAAGTATATCTCAACTGGTATTCGGTATATAACATCAGCTGTAAGTCGAATCCGATGAAAGTCAAAGAGATACAGAATAATTTATGCAGCGTGATCACTCAACAGCGTAAGGTCGAACAGATCAACAGTACGCAATTACCAACTCATAATACGACCTACAAGTTCTGGCACTGCGAGAAATGTCAAAGTTACATGTGCAAACCGACACAGCATTGCGTCTTCTGTAAGAAGTGCTTTCACTTCAAAGATCATCATTGTTTCTTTCTGGGTGCTTGCATACTTCGCCAGAACATGGGCAACTTTATCCTATTTTGTTTCTACACCTCGCTAACATGCTTGTACTCCCTGTGCGTGCTGGGTCCATACATGTACGAGAACATTAATCATATAGTGAAGAGCGATGCGGATTATTTCAATATATTCCTGAACTTTGGTTTCCCTATTGCCTTGGCGAGACTGCTGCGTTCGAGAGATAGTTCGAGTATATTTTTAGTCACGATATTTGATACATTGATGTCGATCCTATGTATCTGTTTGGTGTTCGGCATATGGAAGTTGCACAATTGTTTAACCGGCAAACAACGTTACGTTAATGTAACAAGAAGACAAAATTTGAAGGAAATCTTTGGAAGTTACGGTCTATCGAATATTATCTTTCCATATAACGGTCTGGTAGGCACACGAGATATCAATGGCAAATATGAACTAAAGGAAGTATGAAACTAGTCAAGTAAACAATGAATCCTAAATAAATCTAACACACATTTCTTTATTATGTACTTACGTAGCAATAAATACAGTCATATGTACAATATACTTATGCATTAATACATGACAGAGAACACAGATATGAGCGCATTTTATAATTATCGAATATTCTAAGATATTAAGTCTACAGATTGAAGTCAAGAATTGAAGTCTACAGATAGATATTCTTCCTTAATGGTTTTTGCATACTTTTCATACATGAATAGCGAAAGTATTCTTGTAATGCGTAAATTTAGATCGTGTAATAAATAATTCGCGTATTTCTTATATGATTAATTTAGAAATTAATGTTTGTTGAGACTAAGTTAATATGTGTAAATAGATATTCTATATATAAATATTGTTTGTATTTATTTTGTTTCGGTGATAATCGTTTTTGGATATATGTTTTATATTTGGTTCGATTTTCTTTACATGTATGTTCAACAGTGATATTACAGTTATCTTTCTGAATTATTTGGTATACTACGTGATTTTAATTTATTTAATTACTTATTTAATTCATATGATTACTACAAATATAAATATTTTAAATACAATGATAGTGCAAAATGTAATGTAATAGTATAACTGAGGATATATGAAATTTATTACATTAAATTTCAAACCAATATAATTGTATTCACAAACTTTAAGCAACTGATTTTGTAAATTTTTTCTTAATCCTGAAAATCTTGAAAGCGCAGTTTTATAACAAATAATTGAGCTTAAGAAATAAATGTCATTTAATGACATTTGTTTTGATAATGATGCACTTTCCCCAAATTTATTCACGCATTCTTTGCAATGCATATATACATATTTTTGCAGATTAAATTAAATTACTGTTATAAAAATTGTCTTATAATTCTGTATGTTGATAATGCTGTGCTTTGAAATCATTAGGATGAATAAATAATCCTTCCATCACAGACCATTGTGTATGAGGACTGCTTGAAGAATATTCGCCTACTACCTCAGTCTGGCCACTAATTGGAGTACCATAAGTTCTGCCACTAACAGCCAAGTACCTAAACACATATCAATATCATTTAAATATCTAAATGATACTATCTTTTATCTATACCGAAAATCTGTAGAGGAGAGTATACTTACTTTTCAGTATCAATGTGCTTCAACATAATTGTATCATCTCTTTCCCAAAAATCAGTATGGCATATTAACATCCAATTATCACCACTATCACCTTCTCCCTTGTTATCCCCATAAGCGGAGACCTCCTGTTTTCCAGTCAGGGGTGAGCTAACAAGATGCGAGTGAAGATTCTTTTTTGTTACGACATGCTCCAATCTGATAATATCTCCGCATTTAATTGGCCTCCTATTGAAAAGATCACAATATGTCTATGTACAGGTAAAAATTATAGTAATCAATATATAAGTATAAATCGTAGCTCACCCTCGCATACACTGCTTTCCTGATTCAGCTTTGACAAGCCAGTAGGAATTACCATCTTCTTTGGCATTGGTACCTGTTACAGATTGTTGTCCACTGCCACTACCATATTTTACTTCATGGGAATGTAATCTTACATTATAATCTACATTCATTAACTTTAGTACAGAGCCGCATGTTACATGTTGGGTCCCTTTAGCTGTAAAATGTATCAAATTGAGATATATAGACAAATTACATACACAATATTCCACTTGTATTAAGAAACTGAGATATATCAATTATGCTATAAAAACATTTATATGCAATTGAAAATCTCCCTGGCGTTAATTAATACGAATAATACAAATAATCAATATAAATAAAATCAAGCAAGAAATATACATATTTATATGATACGAAATGACACTTTCAGTGATGGAAATAACATAACCTATTGATCTATATTTACAAGCAATCATATTTCTATGAAATAAATGCAAAGAATACCTTGAATGTAATTTATGTGAAGTAAGATTATTACGAAGCTTGAAAAGAGTAGAAACACCGTGTAATCCATCATGGATTGGTGCTCTCGGCAGTAATTAACAATAGAATCAAGCAAGAAACCGTCACCGGTGATAATACATAGGGGCGTGAATACGTGTTGCCTCCCTATTGGTTATCATCCACGTGTCGACGTCTGCGTCCTGATACTAGCGCGATGCTCGTCTTTCTACTTTGTTTACCCAAGTTCGAAACAACGTAAATTGTTTAATGATTCAAATTTAAGTAAAAGGGTCCTTTAAGTCTCGCAGGATATTAATTGCTAAAAAAATCAGGAATCTTTCAACAATCTTTTTTAAATTCCTCTTCTATATTTTTGATATTACAATTGATATTTATAAATTCATACATTAAAATGAGATTTTGTAAAGATTTTAAATAATATAAATCTCTTTCGACCTTTTTTAAATGATTTACAATATTTTTAGACTAAATAATGTAAGATTTTTGTATTATATTTAATAGTGGCATTAATGTATTTTCAGTTCGAATTAAATATTTAAAATGTGATTAATTTTATAATCAAGGAAGGATATTACAAAGATCTGTTTTTGTTGTACTCGCAAAAAATAAAATCGATATCATTTTTTTATACTTTATGAGAGGAATCCGATGGTACTAGTTATAATTACGTACGATGGGAATACATATTAAGTTTAAAATCGAGAAAACACTTGGCAAGAAGGCGAGAAGAGACAACACACTATTTATGTATAACAATAATATATTTTTATATCGTATTGGACCCATATTTATTATTTGAATATTTTACATGCTAATCTTCCAATTTAATTTAATTAATTAATAAAATTTGTTTTACAGATATGGACTTTTTGCATGTAACATTTAATATAGTAAAAAAATAAACATCAGAATATTACATATGAATATTACATATGAACAAAATTCTATATTTATATAGTTCTACGATATTTCAAGAACACATTAAAGAGAAGCACGAAAAAAGAATCGAGGAAGACACAAATTAAGGTAAATTTATATACACTATTCGATGTATAAACAAATTTAATCGTTTATTAAAAAGGCAATATAATTAACGAACTTCTCTCATGCAGTAATGTTTTTGTAAAAAACATTGATTCCTAAGTTTTATATATCTGATAATTATATCTTAATATATTAGATAATTCTTGACTTGAAAAATATTTTTTTATCAAATTAAACAATACAGACATTTGCAAAAACGGCATTTTGTTTCTAGTATATGAGTTAGGTATGAAATGTTTCTGGGAACAATGGAATGTGCCTCCATTTAGAAAAACTTTCATATGAATCATGAGAATACAACACGGAATTGTCTATGCATTGTCGAGATACAGCACAGTCATCTCATCTGAATGAATGAATGACAAGTGATAATAATAATTAGTACTCCATGAGTTTTGGACGGGTTTTAACATAGATATATGCCGCTATTATCACAAATATCGCAGCTATAGTAGGCAACACAACCGTGAACACTCTCTGCTTGTTCTCAAGGAACTCCTTTTTCCGCTCTTTCTTCTGTTTATTTGTTTCTTTCGTTTTCCCCTTTAATTGCCGCATATTTTACAGCTGCAAACACAACTGAATTAAGACAAGCATTCATTCGTCTACTTAATTGTATTGAGACAAGTGTTCATCTGTTTTTTCAAATAAAGAAATCATATCCAATGATATATTGAAAAGATATGTATAAATCTCTGAATAGCGTTAAATTGTTGAAGAGAGTGACAATTAAATTTTTTAAAAGGTCGATTTGAATATTTCTTATATTCTGACAAAAATATTAGGCTTTAATCGACGCGATACAATCGCGGAGTTTAATCATATTCGTCACGCATATGTTTCAGAGCGTTCGTTGATTCAAGAACTTTTGTTCACGCGAACTTTTTAGAATTGTCTCAATTTAAGATCATCAAGATCGCCAAAATGCCACTACCTTTGAAGACACACGAGGCGACTGGACGTGAGAAAGGAGCACGGGGAGATAAATCTACGCTCGTCAGTTCCTGGTGCAAATCAGATTTGCGTACATGACACGTAGCAAAATGTTAAGAAATGCACCGGTTCTGCTGTCACTGCCGCAGTATGTACATACAGGTGATCGTGCCAAGTGTGTTCCTAAATTTACCGCGGAGAGATCATGCTAGGACAGACGTGGCGGCGGAGTTTTTTTTTTGAGGAGAGAACTGCAATTATTAACAAGTTATTGATCGGGATCCGATAGAAAATTAGATTTCAAAAATTAGACAATAAGTGTACTCAATACACTTGCTAAATGTGCCTTTTCATGCTGCTGTGTTTCCTTTCCTTTTTCTTCTTTAATTTTAATTGGTCCAAGGATGTTTCCTTCCCGTTTATATTGTTCATTCCATCTTTTCCTTCTCCATGAGGATTTACCCTAATGATATTCTAATTACTGCCGTAATTTTGGTCCTACTGCGCATTCCTCAAGTTGTCTCACCTGTTTTCCACCATGATCTCAGTAAAGAAAACAAATTTGAACCGTAAGTACTTCGTACTTAATCATGAGCTAGTCACAAATCGCCACAAATTACGGTATCTATATAAGCATAATAAGTGCGGAGTACGACAACTGGTCTGAAATTCATCCTGTTCGTGAATGAGAATAAATAACGAGAGTTATTTACGAAAGAGAGCAATGAATGCGAGTATGAAGGAAACAGTACATAATTTGAGCAATGTTGTGAACAACGAGCATATTCATGGGAATGAAGAGGTAACTTTGTAATAAGCGATATAAGCCTTTTTTCCCTTTATTCATTTTTCTGATTTTTCACAGTATCTCCTATTACTTTGCAAAAAACCATATGATGTCTTTTTCATGAGAATTACTTCGGATTTTTATCAATTTTTATTGTGCGCATAGGTTATGTTCCACAAACTGAAATCTGATTCAATTGATATATCATATATTATTCTCTTCTGTCATTTAATTCTCCGGAGCTGACAAATCTATAACATTATAGTTACTAATACTGTATCTATGAAACCCATTAGATTAAAAGTACGTTAATTAATTAATTAATTTCAACCAAAATAATATAACTCATAAAAAAGAATGAATACTAAATTTATTTTAATGACAATAATTTGAAGGACTTTGTATTAATTATATGGATAGGATTCTAATGAAATTAGTTTTCATACATCTTGCAGGATTTCCTGCAAGAGAAACGGATAATGATGTTATACAGTGAATTATTCCATTCTGATTATGCCAATGTTAAACTGAGATTAAATAATTATCATGTTACATTATGTTATATTGGATTTCTTATTGGAAAATACTAATAATGTAATTTGTAATGTGATAAGCAAAAAATGTCATACATTAGTATTCATACATTAGTATTCATAATTGGTTTTTAATGCCATCTTAAAATAATGTTTTAATATGCTAATATAGCTCTATAATTAACTTATGACATTAACTTATGACTTAAGACTGTACTTAAAACAAATTGCTTGCATTTGTATAAATGCATGTACTTTCTTTAAATACAAGTATTTTGCATAAAACTTATCAAGTAATCTTACAAGCATATTTACATAAAGAATTAAAGTTTCTAAAGAACAAAGTTTTCCTAGAAGTATTTGTTATATTCTTAACGATTTACTTTACTTTATCTAGCAGACAGTCATCTCTGAGGAGTCGTCAGCCAAGCAGAAGTTAAGGAGCTGGCTAAATCGACATCTACGTATCGAAATGACCGACGGAAGAGTGTTAAGAGGAGCGTTCTTGTGTACGGATCGTGATGCCAATGTTATTTTGGGCTCGTGTACCGAATATTTGTCTACGGAGCACACAGAAGCGAGAGTCTTAGGCTTGGTGATGGTGCCCGGTCGACATATTGTCTCGATTCATTTAGATGTTTGAAGCAGCGCTGCTCTTGCAAATCTGTAAATATTCTCTTCCTATGTTTATTATATTGACGTGTGTACTGTGTGTTGAATTATGTGAGTTATTTGCATATGTATATATGTCTTGACATTTCAAAAACTTGATTTTTATGGTATATTTTTATGGAATAGGTTTGCAAAAAACGAGAGGTATAAATTTTGCTGTTAATGATATTATATATGTTTATACATCTGTCACTTATATTGAACATATTTATTACATCTTATTGATTTTATTAAAGCAAATTTAAAAATATTATAAAAAATGTAATGAAAAAGTCATACAATTTTTGAATACATGACTAAATTAAAGAGATTAGTGAGGCATGCTTTATTCGAATTATATTTTTATAATAAAGATGTTATGAATTCTAGATCATAAGAGAAATATTTAAGAATAAAATAATCTTTAATATCTCATACAACTTTAATACAATAGACTAGTATATATTTAATAAAAAATAACGAAAAAAGAAAATAATTAAATAAGATTGATATTAATGATGTACAAAACATTAGCAAGAAAATTGTTTATTAACATAGATACATAATTATTTTTAATTTTTTTAAGAAACAAATAAAACGTATTTTGAGAGAGAATGTTGGACTCTTTTTCCTAAAAAAATTATTGTTTCTCGATATTCTCTTTGCTTCCTTTGATGCACTGTTCCTGTATATGCCAGTATGTTCGTTCCAACTCTGTATTGCTGTCAGTTTCCGCTTTTACCTTACTTAATGCATCCTCTATCCTCTGTTGAAGTGTACTGGTCAAACTATCCATCTCACACATATAACTTAATTCTGCGCTAGCTACTGCCATTTTATGCACATAATTCATATAGGTAACCAAGCGCTAATTGAAAAAGAAATTGCATTTTAACTTGCTATAATTTTAAACAATATATGTTATATATATATAT